ATAGCTGACCTGTATTCATTCAATAACCTATTGATGCAGTTCTAGTTCATTCATGCAACTCCAGTTTATTCATTTTTAGCTACTTAATGTCTTTATAAATATACATTTACCCATTTCCCTGTTAATGAACATTTACTATATTTCCTAATTTTTAGTTATACATTCAACCGATGAACACTCTAGTACATGTCTTCCTATGCATATAAGCAAGAATTTCTTTAGGATAAATCTCTAAAAACTGAATTGCTAGGTAACAAATTTTGTGTTTTTTTTTGGGTGGGGCGTTTTGGCTCACACCTGTAAACCCAGCACTTTGGGAGGCAGATCACCTGAGGTCAGGAGTTCGAGACCAGCCTGGCCAATATGGCAAAACCCAGTCTCTACTAAAACTGCAAAAATTAGCCAGGGCTGGTGGCATGTGCCTGTAATTTCAGCTACTCAGGAGGCTAAGACACGAGAATTGCTTGAACCCAGGAGGCAGACATTGCAGTGAGCCAAATCGTGCCACTGTAGTCCAGCCAGGGTGACGGAGTCTCTGTTGCCTAGGCTGGAATGTAGTGGCACGATCTTGGCTCACTGCAACCTCTGCCTCCTAGGTTCAAGAGATTCTCTTGCCTCAGCCTCCTGAATAGCTGAAATTACAGGCATGTGTCAGCTACCACGCCCAGCTAATTTTTGCATTTTTAGTAGAGACAGGGTTTCACCATGTTGGCCAGGCTTATCTCAAACTCCTGATGTCAAGTGATCCATCTGCCTCACCCTCCCAAACTGCTGGGATTATAGGCATCAGCCATCATGCCTAAACTGGTCCATTCCCAGTTTTTGTAACTAAAGTTTTATTGTAGCACAGCCATGCCCATTTGCTTACATATTGTCTATGGCTTCAAGGATAGAGGAGAATGTGACAAAAAGCACATGGTCCGCAAAGCCTAAAATGTTTACTATTTGGCCCCTAAGAGAAAAAGTCTGTTGATCTGATATGTATGAGAGGAGGAAGGAAATTATTTTTTGCCAGGTGATGGATAACCAGCATCATTTATAGACTAGTCTATCCTTTCCCAACTAACTAGGAATTCTATTTATATCGCATATATACCTGGGTCTGTTTCTATTCATTTGTTTTGAAATATACCATAAGTATCAAGAATGGAAGGGAAACCAAATGGAAGCATACAGCAAAATAATGCTGTCTCCTCAATCTCATAAAATCAGCTCCCTCCTGACATTTAAGCAGAGATTTGAATGTTATCTGCTTAGAGGACTTCCTTAACTGCTCAATCTTAACAGAGATGACTGCCTAGATAGACAAGGGTGTTAATTGTCAGATGGTGAGAAGTGATTGGATTTGGATATGTCCGAGGTAGACCTAAAGAGATTTGCGGATGGGTCAGATATAGAGTAGGAGGAGAGGTTCAAGGATGTACTAAAGTTTTGGCCTGAGCAATTAAAAAGCCAAAAATGTGGGTGGGTGCCGTGGCTCATGCCTGGAATCCCAGCACTTTGGGAGGCTGAGGCAGGCAGATTATCTGAGGTCAGGAGTTCGAAACCAGCCTGACCAACATGGTGAAACCCTGTCTCTACTAAAAATACAAAAAATTAGCCAGATGTGGTGGCACATGCCTGTAATCCCAGCTACTTGGAAGGCAGAGGCAGAAGAATCGCTTGGCCTGGGAGGCAGAGGTTGCAGTGAGCTGAGATCACACCACTGCACTCCAGCCTGGGCAGTAAGAGCTGAACACTCCAAGAAAAAAAGTCTCAGAAAAAATCCAAAAACGCTACTTACTGAAATGAGAAAAACTGGCGAACATGTTTAAAAGTACTAAATCTGGCATAAAATTTTAGATATCTTAAGTTCAAGGTATCTATTGGATCAAGTTGTCCTGCACGCAGCCCACCATGGCTTTAAATGTTCCTAACACAAATTTGTAAACTTTCTTGAAACATTATGAGTTTTTGTGACTTTTTTTTTTTTGAGACCGAGTCTTGCTCTGTTGCCAGGCGCCAGGCTGGAGTACACTGGCACAATCTCGGCTCACTGCAATCTCCTCCTCCTGGGTTTAAGCAATTCTGCCTCAGCCTCCCTAGTAGCTGGGACTACAGGTGCATGCCACCACACCCAGCTAATTTTTCTATTTTTTAGTAGAGACGGGGTTTCACCATGTTGGCCAGGATGGTCTCAATCTCTTGACCTCGTGATCCACCCACCTTGGCCTCCCAAAGTGCTGGGATTACTGGTGTGAGCAATCATGCCAAGCCTTTTTTTTTTTTTTTTTTAAACCTCATCAGCTATTGCTAGCGTTAGTGTATTTTACGTGTGGTCCAAGACAACTCTTCCAAAGTGTCCCAGGGAAACCAAAAGATTGGACACCTCGTATTAGATAGTCAGGTAGAGATATAAAGTGAACCTAAAGTTGGATCCACCAGTCTGGATTCCAGGGCAAGGATCCAAATTGTAAAGATTAAATTTGGGAATCATCAACGCATTGGTTGTATTTAAAGCCTGCATCGAATCCCTAATAGGACCATCTCCAGCTTCTACTCTTGCCACATCCAGCCTCCAGAAAGCATCTGCAACAATTTTTTTTTTCTTTGAGACAGGGTCTCACTGTGTTGCAGTGGTGGGATCATACCTTACTGCAGCCTCAAACTCCTGGGCTCAAGTGATCTTTCTGCTTCAGCCTCCAGAATAGCTCACAACACTCAGTTATTTTTTTTTCTTCTTTTTGTAGAGATAGAGTCTCTTTATGCTGTGCAGGTTGATCTCGAACTGGCCTCAGGTGATCCTCCTGTCTCAGCCTCCCACAGTGCTTGATTACAGGAGTGAGCCACTGTGACCTAGAATGATCTTTTTAAGATGTAAGTTCAGATCACTCCTCTTTCAAAATTTTAAATTAATATTCTCTCTGTATTTTGTTTTGAGACAGGGTCTCACTTTGTCATCCAGGCTGGAGTGTAGTGACTCAAATATGCCTCTTTGTAGCCTCCACCTCCGAGGCCCAAGTGATCCTTCCACCTCAGCTTCCTGAGCAGCTGGGACCACAGGTTACACCACCATACCTCGCTAATTTTTCAACATTTTATACAGGTCTCACGTTGCTCAGGCTGGTCCTAACTCCTGGGCTCAAGCTATCCTCCTGCCTCGGCCTCCTAAAGTACTGGGGTTACAGGCATGAGCCACCATGTTTGGCATCTCGGCATTAGGAATAAAACCTAACCATGGCCTATACAGCTCTCAATCACCTGATACTTGCCCGCATCTATGCCCCAGTCACAGCAGCCTTCTTTCCTCTCTTGAAGGGCACCATGCTCTTTCTTGCCACCTGACCTTTGAACATGCTATTCACTGGCCTCTCTAGTTATCTCCTACTGATCCTTCAGCTGTAAGTTTCAAGGTCACCTGCTGAGGTCTCTATCTAACATCTAACCAAAATGCGTTTCTCCTCTTTAATCTTTCATAACAGTTTACTCCATTTGTAAATATACACCTATACACACACTTACACGGAGCAAGAGGGAGAAGAGAGATTTGTTTGCTTACTTATTGTCTGTTTATCCCAGCAGACAATAAGCTCCATGGGTGCAGGGACATTGTCTTGTTCACTACCCAACAGTGAGGGCCAACACAGCACCTGGCAGACTGTGGACACTCAAAAGATATTTGTTGAATACAGACAACAGTCTCTTGTGCAACACGCAATCTGCCTCGTTATTCTTAGAATGCTTTTTCCTCCCTTAAAAAAACAAAGTTAACCACTTCAGCAACAATCAACTAGAGAGCTATTAAGTATACCCCTGCCTTACCAATCAGGCTTCCTCCTATTTCACCAGTTTCATTCATTCAGCACTTTCATTCATTCAGCACCTAGCATCAGTTACCAAAACCCTGTGCCTACTCAAGAAGTAGTTAGTCATTCCCAGTTCAACAGGCCTTTGGGAATCATCTAATTCTCAGCTCACAGAAGACAGAAAAGTAGGTTAACTGGTCTGTCCCCCATTACAGTTAATAGCAGAGCTGTCATATGAATCCAAGTTCCTGATTTTATTTAGTGCTTTTTCCACAACCCATTTTTGGCGGGGTGTGGTAGCTCACACCTGTAATCCTAGCACTTTGGGAGGACGAGGCGGGCAGATCACTTGTAGTCAGGGTCAGGGGTTCAAGACCAGCCTGACCAACATGGTGAAATCCCGTCTCTACTAAAAATACAAAAACTAGCCAGGCATGGTGGGGCATGCTTGTAATCCCAGCAACTTGGGAAGCTGAGGCAGGAGAATCGACTGAACCGGAGATCGCACCACTGCACTCCAGCCTGGGAGACAAGAGCGAAACTCCATCTCAAAACAAAACAAACCCATTTCTGTCTGGTACATTTTATCTGAAACAACAAGAATTGACAGGAAAAATCACTATTGCTCACAGACCCACACTTGCTCACTTCGGATATGTATTTTAACTAAGTGCAACAACCTTACTCAGAATCAAAATCAAGCTGCTTCTACCTAAATATTGGGCAGGTAATACAACTGAAAATCAAAAATATAAGTAGTTCGTTTCTAAAGTTAGGGTTCCAGTAGTTAGTAAACTTGCGAAGTCATCAAAAGTAGTGGTCTTCCTGTTGGGGAACTTTAGCAATAAGTAATTTTATTTTAGGAACGGCAGTAACTACCCCTCCCCCCAAAGAGGAAACTGGAAGACAGCACTGGTTGAAGAAAATAATTTTTCACGTGTTGCTGTTACACATAAAACCCTCAATTATTTGGAAAACTCAGACTTCCAAAATAAGGTACTAGAGAGATTTCCTTGATCTTGATCCACAGTGCAGAAAGAACACAAAAAAACTAAAACCCCCCTAAGAACTGTTCTTAAGCATATACGCATGAACTTCTGTGGGTTTCAGCAATCGCTTCTGAACCGGCGCGACAATTCTCTGACCTCGCGCAAGAAGGCCACCTTCTCCCTACCAGAAGAGTCCCGGAGCAGAGCAAGACACTCAGGAGGCGTCTGCGCGGAGGCCGAGGCTCGCCGAAGGCCTTGCTGCAGCCCTGGAGGAAGCCCTCGCAGGCCCACCTGCCACACCGCCGCCCCTGAGGCCCGGCCTGACTCCCCGCCGGCGTCCCCTCAGCTACCTTTCCGCCGGAAGAAGGACATGGCGGGGCCCGGGTCGGGGCGGAGGGTGCGGGGGGACTGGCGCGGGGAGGGCCCGGCTCCCCTCATTCAGCAACCAGCCCGGACTTCCGGGTCCAGGGGGGCCGCCGCACTAGCGCGAAAAGAGACCCTTCTTCCGGGAGTTGGCCCCACCGCCTCCTCGGGATGCCCAGGCAGCTCCAGCCGCCATATTATCAACAAGCCGCCCGCCGGAGTTCCGGTCCTTCCCCGCGCTAAGCTTCACGGGAGGTCAAGCGCCAGCTCCTCCCCTTTCCCCCATCCCCTCCCGCGGGTATAGGGGCGCGCGCCCGCATCGCCCACGTGACCCTACGCGCGTGCGACCCGAGCCTCTAGCCCGGGCCCCGGGGTGCCTGGGGCGAACCACGGTTCCTGCAGCTGCCTCGTGGTGTCTGTCGCTGGCCCTCGGTGGAGCGCTGCAGACCCAGTCTCTGCAAAACCAACCCGCCTCGAGGGAGAGCCCTCCCTGCAGCGGGGACGACGCGGGCCTTAGGTCCGGGGCTTCCGGCCCCTGGGCACCCTTCAGAGTGTGCCCTCCTAAAAGGCAGGGCCAACCCTGCCACGCTCGGGCTCGACCCCTCCTGCTCCTCCGTTCGAGTTTTGCTCACAGGCGCAGGCCAGCACGAGCAGCTTTCACCCTGCACGCCAGCCCCTGCCGCAGCCCACCGCGACCCGCGGGTTCCATGCAGAACCCTGACTGGGAAAAGGCACAACCTGCTGCATGCGGAACCAGCCGCTCCCTCGGTCACGGTGACCTCGCGAATGAAAAGGGGAAGCGGGCTTATTGCGGAATGCAATCCTTGCGAATGCTCAGCTTTGTAAGGAGCTGCAACCTAAAAACTCACCAGTATTTAAAAGCAAGCTCCAGTGAATCATCCTTGCTCAAATGCCATTTTCCTTGGAATCTTCTGACCCTCCCTCTACTCCCACAGCAAAATGAACCAAGCCTCCCTGTCTTTGGTGCTCCGTAAATCCCGCGAGTGCCCGCAGCTGAGTGACAGTTGTAACTGCCCCCTGGGGTTGGGGTTGGGGTTGGGGTTGGGGAAGGCAGGAAGGTAATAGTAACTCAATAAAGGTTCGCTGGAGTTTTTAAACCAGTGAAGTTTATCACGTGACAGATGGGGAAACAGGCCCATCAGAAGCAACTCGCCCAAGAGTGTTCAGTACTCTTAAGTCCGAAAACCTGAAATAGGCAAATCCCTTAGCCTCCTTTAATAATGACATGGTTTTTTCACTGTATTATTAGAGCAGGTTAAAAGATTTGCTTATTTTCTTTCTGGCCGGGAGCGGTGGTTTACCCCTGTAATCCTAGCATTTTGGGAGGCAGAGGCGAGCAGATCATCTGAGGTCAGGAGTTAGACCAGCCTGGCCAAGATGGCAAAACCCTGTCTCTACTAAAAATACAAAAATTAGCTGCGTGTCATGGCGCGCACCCGTAATCCCACCTACTCAGGAGGCTGAGGCAGGAGAATCTCTTGAACACCGGAGGCCGAGGTTGCAGTGAGCCGAGATCGGGCCACTGCACTCCCGCCTCGGCAACAGAGGAAGATTTATCAAAAAAAAAAAAAAAAAAAAAATTTGCCTATTTCGTTTCAGAGCATTGCGCTATACCCTCCAGATGAGTAATAGTCCTTGAAGTCAGTCCTGGTATCTGGAAAACTACGCACTGAAAAATAAAGTCAGCTGCCCAAGGTCACACGCTAACTAGGGGTGAAGCCTGGATTTCAAGGTCAAGCCTCTCTCGGGGTAAAGAGAGGGAGTCCGGAGCGCTGGGTGGAAGCAGCGCGGGCGGCGGCTCCGGACCCCCAGAGTGAGCTGGTGTCGCTTGGAGGCGGTCTGGCCTCCTCCCCCGGCCTTGGCTGGGCCTGCACGGGGAGACTGCGCTACGCCCACCCGGGGATCCCAGGTGCCCTCGGAAGCCCATGTGCGTTCTGGGCGGACCACACCCCGCTGTCTGTAGCCAATAAAACCCTGGATCGTACATCCCACCCCCACCAAAGGGAGATTGGCTGAAGCCGAGGACCAGGGCGCGGTCTCCGTGGGATTTCTCTGCAGGCTGAGGAAACANAGCTGAGTGACAGTTGTAACTGCTCCTTGGGGTTGGAGTTGGGGAGGGCAGGAAGGTAATAGTAACTCTGTAAAGGTTCGCTGGAGTTTTTAAACCAATGAAGTTTATCACGTGACAGATGGGGAAACAGGCCCATCAGAAGCAACTCGCCCAAGATTGTTCAGTAAGTCCAAGAACCCGAAATAGGCAAATCCCTTAGCCTCCTTTAATAATGATATGGTCTTTTCACTGTATTATTAGAGCAGATTAAAAGATTTGCCTATTTCCTTTCTGGCCGGGCGCGGTGGTTCACACCTGTAATCCTAGCACTTTGGGAGGCAGAGGCGTGCAGATCACCTGAGGTCAGGAGTTAGACCAGCCTGGCCAAAATGGCAAAACCCTGTCTCTACTAAAAATACAAAAATTAGCTGGGTGTCATGGCGCGCGCCCGTAATGCCACCTACTCAGGAGGCTGAGGCAGGAGAATCTCTTGAACACTGGAGGCCGAGGTTGCAGTGAGCCGAGATCCGGCCACTGCACTCCCGCCTGGGCAACAGAGGAAGATTTATCAAAAAAAAAAAAAAGATTTGCCTATTTCGTTTCAGAGCATTGCGCTATACCCTCCAGATGAGTAATAGTCCTTGAAGTCAGTCCTGGTATCTGGAAAACTACGCACTGAAAAATAAAGTCAGCTGCTCAAGGTCACACGCTAACTAGGGGTGAAGCCTGGATTTCAAGGTCAAGCCTCTCTCGGGGTAAAGAGAGGGAGTCCGGAGCGCTGGGTGGAAGCAGCGCGGGCGGCGGCTCCGGACCCCCAGAGTGAGCTGGTGCCTCTTGGAGGCGGTCTGGCCTCCTCCCCCGGCCTTGGCTGGGCCTGCACGGGGAGACTGCGCGGCGCCCACCCAGGGATCCCAGATGCCCTCCACCCAGGGATCCCAGATGCCCTCGGAAGCCCATGTGCGTTCTGGGCGGACCACACCCCGCTGTCTGTAGCCAATAAAACCCTGGATCGTACATCCCACCCCCACCAAAGGGAGATTGGCTGAAGCCGAGGACCCGGGCGCGGTCTCCGTGGGATTTCTCTGCAGGCTGAGGAAACACATGGCTGTCTAGCAGGGGCCCAAGTACAGGGTGTCTACACTTCAGCAAGAAAGCGCAGCGCCCTTCTCTCCTTCCCTTCTAGCGTGCAGTCCCTCGCTGGGGCTTTTGTATTTGTTGTGTGCTTCTTTGGATGGGGTGGGAGGGAGGCAGGGGAGGGAACAGTGCGAGAAATCCCCTGAATCTGTCTGACGCGGGAGCAGATCCGACAAGAGTTGGGGGAGGAGGACTCTAAGTTCCTCTTTCCTCATTCTCTCCAGCTAAGCAGAGTCAGTGCAGAAGCAGTGTCTCACCTCGACTTCCAGTGTGATTGCAGCCTTTGCCTCGCCTACCAGAAATTCTGAAGTCGCCTTATCCCCAGACAGCTGCAGACACCTCAGTCATGATAATGGTGGTCATTATTTATGAAGTACTTACTAGGCGCCCTCCTTGAATTAAGTGCTTTACAATTACTATCTCACTTAAT